GAAGTTTTGTTTGCCTGACAGTTGGGCGAGGAATTGAAAGCTGCTTTACAAATAAAAGTGTTGTTTCAAGTTTCTAGCTAATCGCTGAGAAAATAGGTAACGCTTCTGGGTTTTATAGTCTCAGCTGACCGTATTTTTTGCGTGAATTTATTTTTTACTCATTTTCTGTGAAGGGCTGAATATCTAACTGCATTTGCATCCACGTTGTTCCTTATTTTTTTTCAACGTGTGTGCCACCCATACCCGTCGAAAATTAGGAGAAAATGGATCCTTTTTTTTTGTACATTCCAAAATGAATGGAAATCCTCACCAGAAAGCATGGAGGCGACGAAATTGACAGTTTCTCCGGGGGTTACGGTGCATGGGGCCGCTTCGCAATCGCCGATCTGGGCTGAAATCAGTGTTCCCCCGGGGCTTCCTATAAACATACACATTTCAACTTCATTAATTTCCTTCTACAGAATCAGACATTTCCTCCTTTCGAAGAATATTGTTTTTATAATCCGGTTTTTTCTGACTGATACGAAAATGTAATGACCGCATTTCTAAACTCGATCATTATGGTTATCCTTATTTGGTTATGACGAAGAGACATCGCTTTATTTTATTTAGCTGTTGAAGATTTTGTATACAGTACTAGTTTCAAATCTGGAGAGTCGCTTTTTTAAACTGAAGGTTTTTGAATGATGCTCAACGGAGCCCTTGAAATTACATCTGGGGCTCCGCGGTATCTCCTGGAAAATAAATATTTGAGTGAATGAAGAAAAATAAAGGCCAAGAATAAACGTTGACATTTTATTCGACAGATCGAAATGTTATTGGATGACCACGAATTTCTAGAGTATTGCTTTCATTGCTCAGTCCGGATTTTTTTACAGATTTATTTGAAATATAATTTTTGTATCAAAATGTTCATTAGGCTGATTTTAATTTTGAAAGGTGTAACAGACAATATTACAGTAGTTTACAATATTTCGCCTGAATGCATCGAACTTCAGGTAATTTTTATTCGAATCGTTTACACGGTATAGTTGTATTTATAATGTACTATACGCAATATATCTGTTGATTACAGTCATTTGACGAGAAAATTTATTTCGTCACAGATTTTAGCTATAAAAATCTATTCCATAAGGTATTCTCGCAAGTCAAAAATGTTGAAGCTCTGGTCTAAAATTTGTTCAAGTTAACCTTTTGTTGGTTCGGCGATTCTACTTTACTTTGAGATTAGTTAAATATATCACTTTTTAGTTTAATATCAATTTTACTTTTCAGTTTAATATACATTTTACTTTTCAGTTGAATATCAATTTTACTTTTTAGTTTAATATCAATTTTACTTTCAGTTTAATATCAATTTTAGTTTATTGTTTAATATCAATTTTACTTTTCAGTTTAATATCAATTTTATTGTTTCGTTTATTATCCATTTTACTTTTTAGTTTTATATCAATTTTAATTTTTAGTTTAATATCAATTTTTATTTTTATTTTAATATCAATTTTACTTTTTGTTCAATATCAATTTTACTTTTTAGTTTAATATTAATTTTACTTTTTTAGTTTGATATCAATTTTACTTTTTAGTTTAATGTCAATTTTACTTTTTGATATCAATTTTACTTTTCAGTTTAATATCAATTTTATTGTTTAGTTTATTATCCATTTTACTTTTTAGTTTCATATCAATTATACTTTTTAGTTTAATATCAATTTTTATTCTAATATCAATTTTATTTTTTTAGTTCAATATCAATTTTACTTTTTAGTTTAATATTAATTTCACTGAATTTACCGCAATCTTCCAAGCCCTCAGTGGCGAAAGCCACGGCAATAAGCCCAAGGAAGCACAAAGCCTTGATCATTTTTGGTGCTGATTGGAGAGGAGGTAATTTCACAGACACTAGACAATTTCGATTCAACTGCCGAGACGTTCGTTGATTACATTATTTAAATAGCTTGATAACATTGCGTATCACTGACCAGATGCCGAAGTTCTCGTCAGCCTTTCGACACCTGTTGATGAATTTACACTTGGAAGACGATTCTCCACTTGCTCCACATTAACGAGGGTCTTTCAAGAGTGTCGCCATTCATTTGCAACGGATCATTTGGGGAAATTGAGTCTTTTGGTCTTGGAATTTTCACCAGCTGGGAAGTATTTCTGGATTCAATGCCGAGATTGAAAATGATTCATTTAAATTTATTGAAGTTCCATAATTTTTAAAATTCTTACCCGACTTTTTCTATGCATTGGAACACTGCTCAAAAATATGCGAGTAATTTTTAAGCTCAGGTTTACGAAATTCGAGAAATCGCCTTTTTGATTTCGATTGTATGCATGGATTTGAAAGAAGTAAAAAAAATCACATCGTATGCGCAAGTTTCTTTTGATAATTCTTCTGATTTTCCTCAAGTTGTAGGAAAATTTTACGATGATGAATATCAACCCTTCCAAATTTTTGGATTTTTAAATGCCATTCAGCAGTTACTTTCCTTATGATGTTGTATTTCATGTGGAAACCAGCAATAAACCCTTTATTGTTTGATTTATATAATTTCTCCCTTTTGTTTCGAGAAATGGATGTAAGGACCAGTTGACTGCGTGATCCAAAAGGAAATTTTGCAGAATGTTTTTGTGTAGAAAAAGATGTGCATTTTCATCTTTTCACAGATTGTGACGAGAAAATTTGCCTGATGACGAAGTTTCGGTATATATTTATATTTTTGTGGATTGGACGAATAGACAACAATTTTCCAAATATGAAACAAGCCTGCGATGAAAACTTGGATTAATTGGCAGTACTTTCAGTAAATCCCTCGTAAGTCAAGTGCTCCCTCTTTTTCCCCCCGTGCACGTTCACTTTTGTAGTCAAGTCGTAAAGGACGAATTTTTAGTGCGAATACCTCGAATTATTTGCGTTGTTTTCGTGAATTGACCCCATTAAGATAGTGAGGGCATGAGTTCTCCTCGTGCTGGTTCTTCGTTGTAATCAATTCGTACTGACGTTGGGTATTTTATTATGATATTCAAATTCAGCTTGCAAATGTCCATTTTTGTGAACAAATCCTACCATATTGCTGAAATGTAATCACAAATGTTCGAACATTTTCAGAATTACAGTGTTTTAATTTTTAATGATTAGAAGGTTGAACAAAGGATTACCCTTTTAAATTTGAAAAAAAAATTTAACATGTTTTTCAATGCCAATGCGTGCTTACTTTTACTGACCCACATGGAGAAATGAAAAAAATGGATTTTCAAGTTTCTGCGGTTGCCTTTTTTTTAAATATACAGTACTGTACTCTTTTTTAAATAACATAAGAATCGAATTATTCTTCGAACATAAACTCTGATGGTACAGAACTTCAGTATCACGTTTGCTCTAATAACCTTTGGCTGTGTCGAATTTAAGTAGTGCTTGTTCATTCGGTATTGCAGATTAATTTTACTCATTTTCGGTTTGATTGACCGCAGCCAGGTGGGTAACGAAATTAAGAAATAATTTGAATATTCATGCCCTGTTGACTCATCTACGATTGTGCTGATGAAGATTAATTGAACTCTTTATTTTCTTCAATGGCTTGAACATGATCAAGTCTGAAAGGTTTTGCATCGAAGTTATTTTTGTATGAGTCAAGAGGGTCCGGAAATGCATTTAAATCAGCACACTGCGTGTTGAAAAATTACTCGAGTAATTATTGGCAATCCCAATATCCAAGCGTACGAAACGCGTCTTCTGCTACGATTTTTCGGGAAGCTGAAGGCCGACAATATTTGAAAATATAAGGACGACGCGTGAGAAAAGTACAAATGCAGTTTTTCAAATAACGAGTTCCGACAAGTACAAGTGATGTACGAGAAGTACAACCCTTCCGTCAAAACGGGGTCATGAATTCGGCCGGGCGACTTCGCCAAGGCTTTTGCTTTGCGTAAGGTGCGACATCTGTACATGTTTTATGCACTTCATGTGCAGTTCCGATTGTTCAGGAAAAACTAGAGCGAGCCCCAACACCCTTTGGATTTTCCCCTTTTCTTCCATTGTTGGACCTGTCACTATAATATATAACGTAAGTGGAATTTATTCCGTCTCCCACCACTGCAGCAGATGTTCGAGTCTTCGAAATTTTATCGAAGTAATACTTTGCTCGTCCGAAACATAATTTCTACCTTCATTGCCTTTTTGTAATGTGCGGAAATTGGGTGTTTTGGTTTATATAACAGATCACGTCATTCAAGTCAAAAAATTCGAATGGTTTGGTATACATTATAAGTATTGCTCCACACTGAAATTCCTTGTTAATTGAAAAGCAATGGTTGCAGTTGCACAGATGCAATTCATTACCAATTTTTTTTTTCAAAACCTGCACGTACATCAGGTGACTCTCTCTACGAAGATTTTCTCTTTACAACAATTTATTTTCCATGTATTGATAAGATCTCATCTGTGCTGCATGTTACAATGGTTCTCTCTAACGAAACCCTCTGTAATCAACAAGTTTTTCGCCTGATGGTCCCTTGAATTCCGTTGTTTTAGGGCGAGTCCACCAGTATACTGTAGTTCCAAGAAAGACGTTCATGGTTTGAAACGTTTAAGGTGCCTGATGAAGGTCGTGGCAATCTGAGCGAAATAACAATGATATTTGAAGGAGAGCGTATACATTATTCTGATGTGACTATATACAGTGAGTTTGTTAATCTGAAGTGGTTTTAAGTTGTAATACCCGCTTGCAGCGAAATATTTTCTTTCTTTTTTTTGCGTCGCAACCACATTTTAATTTCTGTAGTCGTGCATGAGACTCGTGTCAATGTGGTTGTGACTATCGAGAGGGAATCCTTGGAGTTACTTCTGGGTATTTCCTTCACACTGAACATTAATTGTGAACATTAATTAACGGGGCTTTTCCTCGCAACGGGTGAGCGTTTGGACGCATAGAGCGCGAGCGTCACCTGCCGAAGAATTATAAATCTTCTGTGACTTTTATAAAACTAATTCATAGATGTCGCTCGAAAGCAAACCCCTGACGTGTCCCGATCCCGAACGACCGCAGTAAAGCAGTTCGTTTCGTCGTGCTTTTTCCATAAATATAATTATATTTCTTTTAATTTTTTTTTTTTTTTTCATTAATTCTTTCCTTGTACAGTATTATTGTATGTTCATAGAACTTCGGCTTTTTTTGTGTTCTAAATTTGTTTAAGAAGCGGTGGTTAGAATAACTCACTTCAAAATTTCGGAAAACAGAATCTATAAATGCTCAAGAAAGTGATTTCGGCAAACAGTAGCGAAAACAAAGCACTCCGAATTCCTCAACAACATTGGAGTTGCTGAGCAAAGGTTGATACGTTTCAGGCGGTTTTTGCGCATTTTTAAAATTGTGTGTATGTTTCTTTAAATTTCAGCTCGTCCTTGGGAAGACTCCGTCATACTCAAGCATCTGAACACATTAAAAAGGGACGAAGAAAAGCAGATTATCACTCAACGCGCCAAAACCATAAACGACACTGAAAATCAACATCTAGCTCATGCTGGCTACAATGAAAGCGTTCTTACTATTGGAAAAGAGGGGTTTTTCCTTCGAAAACAAGATGGTCAAGCGAAAAAATTGCCGCCAAGCTGGCTGACTATTCATGAAACCGTGGTTCATGAGAATGAGACGGAAAAGAAACGTAGCCAAGAAAATTCTATCCAGACAACCGAACATTTTGCCGGAAGGAATGATTCTTTTTCAACTACATCTTCGGCGCCAATAGCAAATGGGACTCCTCTTTTGACTGACGATCTCGCTGTTATTCCTCATACAACCAAAGAGGATTTGGCAAAGAAAGTAGAGCCCAAGAAAATGGACAAGTCATCACCGAGCCATCAACAGCAACCGACTGAACTCCCATCTGTTGATCTGACGATCCCTAGTAGACGACGGGTGAGGCGGCATGTTGGACAGATCAAGGTACAGTAAGGATTTCACATGCACTTATTACCTCAAGAATTGTGATTACTGTAACCTTAAATTGTTCGCCTGAAAGGGATTAGTGTTGAGACGCGAGTGTCACGTGTTATCAAAACGAAACATCTTGAAACTCCACCCGTTTCATTTGTAGATGTCGCTTGAAACCACGAACATGCCTTCCAGTAAATTTCCTCTTAATACTGTACAGTACAGTATTTCTGTTCAGTAAGGTTTAATAAATAAGTCCTCCGCCAGGGCACTTGAAAACTCAGTCTTTAATCCGTCGATACTCCGTTCAGATGGCAGCAACACAATCACAAAGTCAAGTCACAGATTGCATAATATAAAAACAATAGTCAGCTCATCACAGGTCAAGAGCAAAGTGAAGTGCCAGAGTCCTGGTCCTCTCCGCATCTCCTCCGATCAAGATTGCCATCTTCCAGCTGGATAAGCTCGGGTGGGCGAATGATAGCAACTATTGCAATTTCTAGTTCGTAGGAGTAGATGTCGCTCTAAGGGGTTCCGATAGGAGGCCTTTACTGTTCGTTGTACAGGAAGCCAATGCAAGATGAATGTAAAATCATACGTTCGGATAGCAAATAATTCGTATTGCGAATATGTCCTGTCATTTGTAAACAGTATTTTTTACTTCAGGTGCGTTTAAAAAAGCAGCTACAGTATTAATTCTGTTATCGTGTTTTTCATTGTATTGCATGCTTTTTTATTTGAAAAATTATGCATGCTTTTAACTTCATCCAGACTTCACCAGACCCTCTCGTCTGAAAGAGAGGGGTTTCTTCTACATGCATTATCGACAATTCTTCTGTACCCCATGCAGCATGTGCATGTCCTATATATACTCCGATTGGACTGAATTGCGTGGTATTATTGATGAAAATAGAATTAATAAGCTCAAATAAATTTCCAGCATCAGGAATCGGGAGGAATGGTTGATGATGCGCTTGCATTGGATGAGTTTGACTGGGAAACTCCAGAAGAACAGCTTCCAAAAGGCAGGAAAGCGAAAGATGCGAATGGATGGTTGGGTGAGCATCTAATTCAGGGAATTGATTTTTGGAAGTGGTGAATAATAAAAAAGGCTTTTCAGAAATTGACATGAAATCACCTACGAAACCAACGCCGGTTCGATTCCTAGAAAACAAGTTGCCCATAGTCACTGCTGGTAAGATTTTGGTTTTGTGTTGACGGCAGGCAGATTGTAATTTGATGTTCAGCGTTTTAATGCGTGATTCACTATTTCTAGATGATTATTATGACCAACAAGGAGAGGAAGAAGTTCCTACCACTGGTTATCAGAGATTGTGTGCGGGTGAGTCAGATTTTACTGATGTCACGCAGTGTGAATTCCACTTCCATCATTTTTTTTTTCAGGAGGTAGTTGTTCAACACCCATTATACCTTCAATGATTGACAAGGAAATATCCAGTAGTGAGCCGGCAATCCAGGATGATCATGTGGAACCCAGGACCTTCTGGGAGAAAGGTCTTTGGCTGACTGCAAGTGGAATTGCGATGTTCGTTGTCATTTCTCTTTTCTACGGCATTTTCTGCAAGCTTCGCTACAACCCCCGCCTTCTTCCTTCCCCCGGGGTTTCGGGATCCGAACTCAAGCAAGAAAGCGAGGTTCGTTCGAGTTTAAATTTTGAATTAGTATTAATTTGAAGTGATAATTTATGTTACTTCATCTGATACAAGCCCTGTACAGTAAATGATTTTGCTTCGAACTACGTTTTCGGTCATAATCCCTCAAGCTGAACAAAGATCCTGATCAAAGATTATTCCCAATGAAAATCCAGAAAGGGTTATGATAATGTATTTGAAATAGTGTAATCTCGTAAGATTATTTATTCTAAAAAACAAATTCAGCTAATCTTCGAAAATCCCCGATCTCTTCACAATTTCTCTCTTGATCTCTTCAACAATAACCGAATTAAACGCTTGAATATTCCTCCGAAATTAATTTAAATTCTGTTATGCAAACTAACTTGGATGAGGCTTTTCCACTTCACGCACAAATTTGATTCTGTAGAACGAAGTAAATCTGACGAATAATGCTGTATTTTGAATATTTGCAGGAAAGTGAACTGAACACAGTTGTGCGCCATGCATTTGACGCAAGTCAAGCATTTCCCGCAGATCGTTCCTTGAAAGCTGAGCAGAACAAATATTCTTCGCATTACCCGTGAAGAATTTTCCTGCACGTGAACGTCGTCAAAATTATCAAATTTCACACGTCGGAGAAAGAAATGAAAGGTAAAATCTTTCAATTAAATCATGGAAACAAAAGTATATTTATCCGCTGGCAATGAAAACAATAATTTCCAAAACAAAATCCTTCAACACAAATTCTCATCTTTCACACAGATCACCATGGACGCCAAACATCCTCATCACTTGAATAATAACCTGACGAGCCGTGACTTCCGTACGACGAAGCACAAGAAGATGACGAAGATTTTTTCGCACCCACTCGCAAATCGAGTCCTTCATCATCTTCCGAACCTGACGAGAAACCACCAGATGCCACACGACGATCGTCACGCACCAACACACGAACTGGCATGAGAAGACCTGCGCGAGAAGCACGAGACGCAAAATCCCCATGCATCATCATGGTCTCATCGACTGATGACGATGTTGAAGCAGATGAGGCAGCTCGCATTCGGTGCAAGGCTTTCTGATATGGAGCCATAGCAGCCAAAGGTGATGGTGGCGGTGATACAATTGGGTCTTGTCGAACTGCAACAGGTGTGGTGACACGGATGGGAGAGGTTTTGTCTGCCGTATCCATCACCATGAGACATTCGTGCAAGTGTGACATAAGTCCACGGGTAGCTGGATGCATATTCTCTTCTGACGAAACTCTCTGCGCAACCTGGAGAATAAAATAACTTATCCGTCAAAAATGTTTCTTCTCAGTTAGCAAAACAAGTAAAATTGCGATTATTTATTTGATGAATTTATAAAATAATTATATGATGGCTGTTTCAAGTTTTCACCATTGACATTAAATTACCATCATTCCACCCACAACAAAAAAAAAATCAGCGCTGCACTGATCTGCAAATGCAGATCATCGCCTTAGTTTTTACAATTGAATTTACTCTCAATGGTATCCTCAACTAGGACCTCACTTTAACCATCAAAACTTATTCCTGCTCAATCAATTTTCGTTTAAAAATTAATTAAAATTACAAAATCAAGACAAGCAATTTTTCAAAAATTTGTAGCAAGAGACACGCAGAGCAAGTAGAAAGTAATTAACGCTGTAAAAATTAATTCTTAATTGATTTCGTTATCCACCCAAATTAGCGAAGAAAGCAAAATATTAAAAGCCCACCTGTTGGCACGCAGTTGAGCTGAGGAAAGTATCCACTTCTTGCACACATCTCGCGAAGCCGGCATGAAATCGTTGCACAGCGGCGGCAGGGTCAGGAGCCCTGACATCACCCTGCTTTTGAACCAGCTTTCTCAAATGCGTCACTGTCAATTCGAGCACATCAGCTTTCTCAAGCTTCGAAACGTTGTTGTCACCATCAGCTTGGATGGCAGTCACCATCAACTCTTTCAACTCCTCCAAACATTGGTTGATACGGGCACGCCTCTTACGTTCCAATAACGGCTTCATCACCTGAGAGACAACACAGAAATTTGTTCATAAGTTCATGATACACAGCAAACTACGATCGCATTTAATTCGATATTCATACGTAAGATAACCAACAGATTGCGAATGATTACATGTTACAGATAGTTTCAAATTTAAAATTCCCAAAAATTTGATACTTTAAAATTTTAAAGATTAAAACTTTTTTAACTACAGTATCTGCATTTTGCATTACTCCCACTGCCGACGGGGGTCTTTAATTTAATTAATTCCCATTCAATCAACACTGTTAACACTCTTCGCTTCGAGAACAGGACAGTATTCGGATATTCACCTTTTTGTATTGCATGGTCCTTGACATTGGTTGCTCGGCAGACATGACTGGCGACGGCAACGCTCTCATGATCAATTAGATCACACAAAACACTCTTCCTTTTCCCCTCTTATCAGGTCAGGTCACGAAGTATTCCTTCAGTATATTTCTCCCAACAGTCTCTTAGTACTAGCTCGTCTCGCGTCTGAGCGTGGAATGAAACGCCCGGGATCCGCGCACAGACTTCTCATGCTCCTGCGCGGGAGGGAATGCGCAGCTCGTGCCGGAGAAGGACGGATCTGCGCAGCCTGTCGAGTAGGGCGGTATGCGGGTTGCTGGGAATATCGGCCTTCTCATCCGGGCGCTGTCCCATGGAGTATCTGTTGAACAATTTCAATGTTTCGATCAAGGAATTGTGAAGTACGATGTGAAATTCCGATGCAGGTGTACTCTTGTTTCCTAAGATCTTCCCCACGATTATCTCTACGTAGCAAA